CACCTGAGCATGCCACGGGAACAGTCACGGAGTGGTTTGGGCTGGGAGGGCCCTTAAAGCCCATCTCGTGCCACCCCTCTGCCATGGGCAGAGACACCTTCCACTAGGGCAGGTTGCTCAAAGCCCTGTCCAACCTGACCTTGAACACTTCCAGAGATGGGGCAGCCACAGCTTCTCTGAACAGCCTGTTCAGGGCCTCAGCGCTCTCAGAGCAACGAGTTTCCTCCTAATCTAAACTGTTGCTTGTCTTCGTGTTTCATATCACAGAGAAACTGTGTTTTCCCCATTAAATGTTACTGGGCAGGAAGCTGGCTGCTCTGTGCAGTGTTCTGGTGCTGGCTGTGCCTGTGTTGCTGGGTACGAGAACACAATAAAACCAACTTAAATGTTATGAGCCATCAGTTACCTGTACCTGGATGGGGGATGGTCCCTCTGTTACAGTGACAATCCATCAGGGCGTGTGTCTGTGTTACCCCCATGGTTCTCCAGCTCACTTACAGGTCCACCAGGTGCTTAGAAGAGAATCGGTTGGAAAAGACCTGTAAGATCAACTCCAGCCATCAGCCACGTCCAGCCCTTGGCAGTGGCCCTGTGCACCTGGGGGTCACAGCTGCTCCCTGCAGGGCAAAAGGAGATTGTGGAGTCTCTGTCTCTGGAGACATTCCAAGCCCACCTGGATGTGTTCCCGTGCCACCTGCTCCAGGTGACCCTGCCTTGGCAGGGGAGTTAGACTGGATGATCTCCAGAGGTCCCTTCCAACCCCAACGATTCGATTGTGGTTCCATAACTACCCGGTAGCCACAAGGCCGAGCTAACAAACGTGCTGTTTTAGCAGGGAAAAGGTATTTCAGAAGCAGAACTTTTTAAAAACAGACAGCATGGCCGATCCTACCAAATCCCCTTCCAATCCAAACCATTCTATAATTCTAAATGTGATTTGAGTAGATCCTGCCGTTAAGTCAGTGACCGGTTTTGAAGGATTACTTGTACTGACAGAGGCACCGCGGCGCCTGTATTGCACTTTTCTGTGCATACACAAACGGAGGAGCGGCGGCAGCCGGAGCG